TATTAATTTAATAATTTTAAGGAATCATCTATAACCAAGTTTACAGTGTGCAAAACAAGGCATATTACGTATTCCTAATAGTCCAACCATTTTTACTATATTGGCACCATTATCTGTCGTGATGTACATAACTTTGCCATTTACCAGATTGCCCACTCCGTCAATATTTAATCAATCAAATATTCAACATCTTTTAAATGATCTGCTGTATGCGACTCTGTCAAAGGTTAGTTAGTACACAACTTTCAAGGCAGTTACAAAGGAAAGAGTGTACAGTAATTGTGATGTATGACTCCATGGAATTATTTGTCCAAACATCTATCGTCAGTGACACCTTATCAACTTCAGATAAGATTACAATATTGATAACAACATACATTACTTGTAACAAAAAATGAAACAGGAACTCAAACTGAAAATGAAGAAAATGTTCATGTGGAAACGGACAAGAGTGCTTTGAGTTAACGACCGAAATAATCAATCTCATTCGAAAGAAGCAAATTAGTAAAATGATGTAATAAATGTAATACAATGTATTACATCTAAATACTAATTAAAAATATTACATAACTGATAACTGATGTAATATGATCACCGGAGTTTCATCGGTTTATGTCCGATTACTTTCAGCGGTGATTCGGGTACAAACTATATACTTGTGTCAATCATTCATTTCTATACTGACCAAATTATTCTATTACATTTCGTCACGCGTACCGGTACATTCAGATCAAACCTTCAAATGGATCATTTCGGGATCCAGTACTCTATGAGTCTGTGAGATCCATTGGAAAGCGAAAATTTTCTATTTGAGATTTGTAATAGCGGCATCTACTACATGCTATAGGTAATAAAGTTATTTTGTAACTTAAACTTATTGACTTTCAAGGCGGTAAATACAATCGACGCTAGATGGCATAAACACAAAAACCTCAAGTGATTCAATCGATTTGATTTGATTTTGATTGATAACTTTATACAATATTAATATATATTTTAAATATTTAATAAATTTGCTTATTCTCAAATTTCATTTCTAACAATATACAATTTCATCTTACTTTAGATAGATAGATAGAATTTTTTTATTGCACTCAAAACAATTTGGTACAAAGACGAACTTAATGCCGAAAAAGGCATTCTCTGCCAGCTAACCTTTTGTAGTGTGGTGAGAGCTATTGGTAGAGCCGCGAGAGAAAAAAAACTAACTTATTTATACATACTATTCAAAACGTATTATATAATATTATGTATATGTTAATTTATACATATATACACTTATACACACACATACATATATATATACATACTGTTTAGGCCTGATAGTAGGTCGTCTTATCTAGCGGGGTGAAGCGACGACTACCAGAGGTGCGGGAGGGGGAGGCTAGCTGCATACTGCGTGCGGTACGGGGCCGTGGCATAATCAAAAATAGGCAGCAACAGAGAGTTGACTAGCGTAACCTTGGCCGTCTGAGTAATAATTTTTTGCCAGAGCTTTAATGAATGTATAGTTCCAAAAATACGTCTCCTGACCTCATTAACCTGTAGCACCCAACTTATATCGTCAGCCAAAATTAAGCCAAGGTTCTTAACCTGCCTAACATATTCTAAATCTACACTGTTTAGAGTGCCCTTAGGTAGATGTTGATAGTCAAGTCGACATGTAACTTTTCTGCTCCCTATGATGATAACCTGTGTTTTGGCAGGATTTAATATTAGCCCATGACATCTCGCCCACTGATGAACTGCAGCAAGATCAGAATTCATTCTGTCAACAGATGAATTTAGGTCATTTAGACTAAAATGTTGATACAGCTGGACATCATCTGCGTACAGGTGATACTTGCTGAAATTTATTACGGAAACAAGTGCATTGATAAACACAGAAAAAAGCAACGGAGATAAAACACCTTGAGGAATACCAGCAACAACTTTACACCAATCGGAGTACTTATCATCAACACGTATGCGTTGCTGGCATCCTTGAAGATAGGAACTAAACCATTGTAAAACTGACGATGTTAAATTCAGGGATTTCATAATTGCTAACAGGATGTCATTTTCAATATAGTTAAAGGCGTTACTGAAGTCTAGAAGGACAGGAAGAGTGAGTTGACGATTATCCATCGCGAAGCGGATATCATCAGCTATTTTAATTAGGGCGTGGAAGTACTGTGCAGAGATCGGAAACCAGACTGAAAAAGATTAAAGACATTGTATTAGTTTAGAAATTTTGAGTTTTTTTTGAAGAGGGGCAAACGAGCATGCGGCTCCTGCGACCTGATGTTAAGTGACTACCGCCGCCCATGATCAACCGCAACACCAGGGGAATTGCAGGTGCGTTGCCGGCCCTTTAGAAAGGAGTAAGCTCTTTTCTTGAAGGTCCCCAGGTCGTATCGGTCCGGAAAAATCGCTGGTGGTAAACTATTCCACAGAGAGGTTGTACGCGAAAAAACTACTCTTGAAACGTACACTGGTGTACCGCCAAGCATCCAGATGGTATGGATGGTATCGGGACGTTTGCCGCGTAGTGCGTTCACGAAATTTGGCGGCTGGGATTAATCCGAACAATTCCTCAGAGCACTCTCCATGGTATATGCGAAAGAAAATGCAAAGAGATGCAACATCTCTTCGCAGTGCCAGTGAATCGAGCCGATCGGAAAGCACTCGGTCGTCGACGATTCGAGCCGCTCTGCGCTGGATGCGGTCAAGTGGAAGGAGCTGGTACTGGGGAGTCCCAGCCCAGAGATGGGAACAGTATTCCATGTGCGGCCGAACCTGCGCCTTGTAAAGTTGCAGGCCGTGTGCCGGTATGAAATACTGTCCCGCTCTGCTGAACACGCCAAGCTTTTTAGAGGCCAATTTGGCCTTCTCTTCCAAGTGACCACGAAACTGCACGTCACTCGATATGTCGACGCCGAGGATTCCGATACTGGCTGAGGCAACAAGGGGAGTACCTTGAAACTGAGGAGATACGACAAAGGGGTTCTTTTTAGAGGTTAACGCGCAAACTTGTGTCTTCTAGGGGTTAAACTGGACTAGATTTAGTCGCCCCCAATCCGAAACTCTGTGCAGCAAAGACTCGACTTCAGACACAAGTGTGATCCAATCGCACAATTTCTCAGGAAGCCCATAGGACGGGAGCTTCGAAAGAAGCGCTTTGTGCCAAACCCGATCGAAGGCCTTCGCAATGTCCAAACTAACGGCCAATGCCTCCCCCTTGGACTCTACTGCCTCCGCCCATCTGTGAGTTAGGTAGACCAGAAGATCACCAGCTGACCGACCACGGCGAAAACCGTATTGGCGGTCACTAATCAGCTGGTGATCCTCAAGGTACCTCATGAGCTGGCAGTTTACAATGGACTCGATTGTTTTGGAGAACAAGGAGGTGATGGCGATAGGCCGGTAGTTGGACGGGTCTGAGCGGTCGCCTTTTTTAGGGATCGGGTGGACGAAAGCCGTCTTCCATGATTTTCGGACTACGCCTAGGGAGTAGGAGTACCGGAAAAGATGCGTTAAAACCGGGGCCAACTCTGGAGCACACGTCCTCAGCACAGTTGGGGGGATTCCGTCAGGCCCACTCGACTTGTGTCCAGGGAGAGGAGTGCTTTGCGAACCGAGCACTGTGTGAACTGCACTTTCGGCATGGAGCACTCACACCGCGGGATGGTCGGTGGTGTACTCCCTCCGTCATCGAGGGTCGAGTTGGAGGCAAAGAAAAGATCGGCTTTCTCCTTTGCGGTATGGGCCAGTGAGTCGTCCTCCCTGTGCAGAGATGGAAGATATGGCTGACTGAAATTCCCCTGGACAGCCTTGGCGAGAGACCAGAATGCACGGGTTCCAGAAGGAAGGCGAACTATTTTCTCGCCAATTCTGCCTATGTGCTCTGACTTTGCCTTGGCAATGACTCTTTTGAAGGACCTAGAGGCGGAATTATACTTCTTTTTTAGAGCGCTGGTGTTTACATCCCGGGACGCTGATGCGTCAGCCCAGGCTTGGTAGCACTCCTGCTTATAGCATGATACTATTTTACAGGAGCGACCAAACCATGGCTGAGATTTGCCTCCAATGCACCACAGAGGAAGGAATAAAAAGTTCCATACCCTGAAGTACAACATCAGCGACAGAATCCGCAACAACGTTGGGATCGTCCGGCGAGAAGCAAACCCGCCCCCAAGGGTAGGATGCAAAGAAAGACCGCATCCCATCCCAATCGGCTGACCTATAGTGCCAAACACGGCGGCAGCCTGCAGAATGCAACTGCGATTTCAGCGTGGGTGGTACCACACTCCGAACAAGACAATGGTCCGCGGAGCCTAAAGGGGCGTCGACGGAAATCTGATATCCGCCCGGATGAGAGGTCAGCAGAAGGTCCAACAGGGAAGGTACATGATCCTCCACATCTGGAATCCGCGGAGGCGAAGTAACCAGTTGAGTCAGACCATATGCCAAGGCAAAATCATGAACAGATCTCCCCGCATAATCGGTTAAACGTGAACCAAGCCATTCGGCGAGATGGGCGTTAAAGTCGCCGAGGATCACGATCTCTGCGGAGGGGATCTGCTGTAGCAACGAATCTGTAGCCATTTGGACGTGTCCCATTGACCGTCCCAAGCCCGTATGCGAAAGGAGGAGGGCAGACTTAGGAGAGACCAAACCAGTCGTAAGAGGTCAACGCCGAGTATCGGGCGCCGGTTAACTAACCCGAATAAGACCAAACCGATGGTGATAGGAAATGATTACCATCACCCGCTACACTGTGGTAATGCACAGAATCGAGGGCATTGGCTCTACTGCCCGTGCCGAGAGGTAGAAAGCCTCAATAAAAATTCACCCCAATCCTACGGTGGGGGACGCGCCAAAAGGATGTATGGCTGGAGGTCCCAGTCACTAGCGGCAAACTTGGTGGACTAGGCGAACACCATTGTACATAGCCTTCTCTCAGGAATGGCGTCACCCTGAGAGTGACCCTTTTATCGTCCATACTCGTGGGAATCAAAATGCAGAACAATGAAAACAAATCCCAAAAAACCTATACACAACAAATTCTCCATAAAGAATTCTTCCAAGCAAGACCGAGATCCTTTTCTTTTAGTGGCCGCCCAAGCAGTGATATGCAATCTGAAGATGCAGATTTATGGAGTCCGCCAGGTCAGACGGACATCTTCCAACAACAAAAGGATGAACAACCAATCAACGAATGGCAGCGAGACAAAGTACCAAATAAAAAACGTAAAAGACCCGACAGCCCAACGGAAAGTGTAATTAAACAGAAGTACACAAGACAAGTCAACTATAAAGTTCCTGTTCGAAACCAATTCGACATCCTTAGCGACGAAGATCCTGAAATCGCACCTAAAACTAAAGAATATATACCAAAACCAGAACCAATTTTTGTGACTGATATTGTCAACATAACACCCTTAAGGGAACTTATAGTCATAGTTAAGTTTATAGTCATAGATAAGTTTACAACGTTTGTACGATGACTACACTAAGATCAGGACATATCATTAAGCCTATTTATATGCCTGTTGACATCGAAACCGATAAAAAAATAAGAGACAATCTAATTAAAAATAACATCAACCACTACACTTACAAACTTAAGAGTGAAAGGGCGTACAGAGGCTTACATGCGTCAGAAAATATTGACATGATTAAAGAAGAGCTGCAAGCCAAAGAGCATGCCATACGTATTGCATAGAACAACAAAAGAAAAACTACCCCTCTACTTTGTAGATTTAGAGCCACAAGCCAACAATAAGGATATTTTCGGTATAAAATACATCAACCATGTCAAAGTTACAATCGAAGCACCTTACAAGAAAAAAGAAGTATTGCAATGTTAGAGATATCAAAGATTTGGGCACTGTAAAAATCAATGCTTTAGACCTTTTCGATGTGTCAAATGCGGAAACGATCACCCAACAGGCACATGTACCAAAACTCCTGAGTCAGAAGCAGTGTGCGCTAATTGTCAAGGCAAACACCCGGCGAGCTACAAAGGTTGCATTAAATATAAGCAGTACAAGGAAAAAATTCTAATCCTCAAACCTGCCCAACAACCCAAACAAACACACGTTACTACACACCCAAAACAGAGCATCAACGAGAATGACAAATCAACGCACCATACAGGCTTCAGCTACCTGCCAGCCAGTGTACTGAAGAACAAGCGTGACAATTCTTTTACTCAGTCACGCTTTCCTATTTTGGACGCGAGCCAACAGAATATAACAAGCTTATTGGACACAATGTTTGAAAGATTCCAAAAAATCATGAAAGACATGATGAACAGCATGTAAATAATGATCAGATGATCAAACTAATTACACGACTTACCGCACAGAGGGACTAAATATTCGTATTATCACCTGGAATGCCAATGGGCTGACCGATAGACGGAAAGAACTTGAGATATTCATAAACACTGAGAATATTGATGTTGCCCTGATATCTGAAACAAGACTTACACCCAGATTACATATAAAGTTCCATAACTATACGATCTATAGAACCGACCATCTTGCTGGAAATTCTCATGATGGCACTGCAGTGATACTGAAAAATAACATAAAGCATTACCTTCTCGAAGTATACAAAACAGAAAAAATTCAGGCAACATCAATTAAAATACACCACAAAAACACTGAGACAACATTCACTGCAATCTATTGCCCTCCACGACCCAAAATCGAGGCTGATGAGTTCAAGCTGTTTTTCAACAAATTGGGCCCAGTATTTATCGATGAGACTGGAACTCCAAGCACACTTTCTGGGGATCAAGACTGATCAACCCTAGGGGCAGACAGCTATATAAAGCTACTCTAGATCTCAATCTCGAATGTATCTCGCACGGAGAACCAACATACTGACTAACGGACTATAACAAAGTACCAGATTTGCTAGACTTCTATATTTCAAAGAATCTTGGGCAAAACTATTTACAGATTGAAAAATGTGAAGATCTGTCATCAGATCATACTCCAGTCATTTGAAATATTTATAAACAGGCCATTTTCCTTAAGCCACTTCCCAAGATCTACAACAAACATACCAACTGGGACAAGTACAGAGAATTTATACGTAGTAACATTGACCTAAACACAAGTCTAAAGACAAACGATGAAATCGAAGCCGGCGTTGAAAAATTCAACAGCATTGTACACATGGCTGCCACCATTTCCACTCCTAAAAATAGGAAATCAAAAACAAAACAAAAGGAATACCCCAGAAACATAATCGCAAAGGTCAGTGAAAGACGCAAATTAAGAGGAGAATGGCATAAAACTAGATATCCTTCGGATAAATCTCAGCTAAACAGGGCAACGAAGGAACTACTAAGGAAGGAACTTTATACGTGGTAGAGCCATGCTGCAGTTATATTAGAAGTATAGTTGTAGCATGAATGGGTCGGCTCGACCGGGGAAGGACCACGCTCTCACAGAATACCAGCGTGAAATAGTAGCTTAATGCTGCTGTATTTCGTATGGTGAGTGTAGAGAACCGGAGACCCTTTTTACTGGAAACGAGGCATTACATCTTAGTCCTTACGGGTGACAACGCATTTGCATTTTGTTTCGTAATCGAGGATAGATGTGGATGTCTATGGGCCACAGCAACCACTTACCATCAGGTGGACTGTGTGCTCGTTTGTCACCTTATCCTATAAAAAAAAAACTAAACTAAAAGACATGATTAAAGAGCATGGAAATCGTTGTGTACAATGTCACCTATCTCAACTCACATCACAAAAGGATACTAATTATTCACTGTAGCGCGCAACCAAGAACCTTAAGCAACCAAAAGACCACATCCCGCCTCTGAGAAAACTGGATAGAAGCTGGGCTAAGACTGATGTAGAAAAAACAACAGCATTCGCAGTACACCTAGAAAAAGTATTTACACCACTACCTTGTTCCGACCCCGATAATGACGATGACATGCGAATTATCTACAGTCTCCAAATCAATTATGTCCCCCATTAAAAGCAGTAAGTCCTAAAGAAATAAGCCGGGAGATAAGCATCCGTGCTGTTAAGCAATCTTCCGAGGAGTGGCATAATATATCTTGTTACACTCTTCAATTCATCTATAAGACTCTCCCACTACCCGGGACAGTGGAAAATTGCTCAAGTAGTAATGATCCTCAAACCTGGAAAGCAGCCGGAAGAAGTCTCATCCTACAGACCAATAAGTCTCCTTCCACTGGTGGGGAAATTGTTCGAAAAAGTTATCCTCAATAGAATGCAATCTCATCTGAATGCTATTCTTCCTGGGCACCAATTTGGATTTCGACAAAGGCATGGAACCACTGAGCAGGTTCACAGATTGACAGATACCATCGGTTATACGCTTGAAAATAAGAAATATTGCTCGGCTGTGTTTCTGGATATAAGTCAGGCATTTGATAGAGTCTGGCACGATGGCCTCTTATTCAAGATAAAAAAACAGCTACCGCATTCCTTCTACTTTTTACTGAAAAGCTACTTAAACAAAAGATGCTATGAAGTTAAACTGAACAACACCACGTCTGATCTGTTTGAAATCAGATCAGGGGTACCTCAGGGGAGCCTATTATATATTAGGGCCTATACTATATCTTATATTCACTGCTAAAGTCCCTGTTGATGATGAAACCTTTATTGCCACATACGCTGATGATACTGCAATAAGTTAATGCCAACCCAACAATCGCATCAGCACATCTCCAAAAACATATTGATGAGATAGAAAAATGGCTGAAAATATGGAGAATAAAGGCTAATCAAAGCAAATCAATTCACGTCACCTTCACTCTCAAAAAAGGCGACTTTCCACCAATTACACTGAACGGAGAACAAATCCCACACGATAGTGCCGCGAATTATCTAGGTATGCATCTGGATAGGAGGTTGACCTGGCAGAAACATATCTGGAGCAAAAGAAAAGCCCTGGACGCAAACTATGCTACAAGTATGAAACAAGAAATCGCTGCTCGAAGCTTAAAATACCAACAAAAATTAACTTCACGTGTTAACGCTCTGGCTGCTAAATTAATGGGTTCTGGAAGTACCGTGTACACAAGACTGAGAAGGAATAGCGTTCCAAATCTCGTGAAATGATTTACCAAAGAATAGTGGGAATGGTCAATGGACAACCCCCCCTGCTTTAAGAAAGAAATAATCAGACATAGCTCAGACAAGGAAACAGCTAAATGTCGACGACAGATTGCTGTGTAAGCGGGATAGAAAAGAAAAAAAATTTGGACGTGGTCGAAGAGTCGGTCTGTTTCGGCATTACCGCTATGGGACCTATAGAGGCAGAGACGCGCGGATGGTCGTCGCTCTCTACGCGTAGCCAAAGGATGGACAGGTCCGATCCTTCAAGTCTGCCGAGGCGTCGAGAACAGATGTCCTCTCTGACGTAAACGCAAACTCCAGCCCGAGGCACAAAGGAGTGTTCCAGTTTGTACCCCGGGCAGGAAAGATACGAGACATCAGCCGGAGAGGACACCTGCGTCTCGGTCAGAAAGAGCAGAGCCGGCCTCGCCGTCTCGAGATGGTAGTGGACGGCGTTTAGGTTAGAGTGAAGTCCCCTGATATTGCAGAAATTCACGGACAGCGTGGCAGGGTTCGCCTTGGTCTTGTTGCTCCGTTTGCCCCGAGCAGTTGTAGTCTTGGGCGGAATTTTGCCCCCCCCCCCCCAGAATACGCGGGGCAGCCTGAGCACCCACGATCAGAAGTGGAGAAACATGGTCGTGGATGCTCAGCGAGGGATTCTCCAGGGGTGCTGGTACCCTCCTGGGGTAGTCTATCATTATTTAATTTAGCTACCATGTTGATGGGAGGGGGGATTTGGGCCTCCGGCCACCTGCACTCACCAGACGAAACGCGGAAGCTTCCACTTCACGCCGGTATTCTGTGAGGTCGTGGTACCACCCCGGTTTGAGCCGGCCCATACGTGCAACAGCAAAGCTGCCGCGTGGCTCTACCACTGGTAAAAGAGTTGGCCATGAACAACCTTTTCAAGAATTTTGGAGAAGAAGGAGAGGATAGATATTGGCCTATAGTGGCTGAAATTAGTAGGAGAGCTATTTTTGGGGACAGGAATCAGGAATGCTTCTTTCCACTTGGTAGGGAAGTTACTGGAAGAAAAGGAGAAATTTATTAGGTTAGTGATATGGGAAACTATTTGGTCCAAAATCGGCAAAACCATGTCACGTCCAATATTATCTGGGCTGACAGCTTTGCTGGATATTACGGATGCAATTTTTTTACTTCATTATCAGTCACTGGTTCAAAACAGAAAGGGATACCACATGGTAAAGGGAAAGAAGTGATATCTTTAATGGTATCGCTTTTGGCTGTTGAATCCAATGAAACTGGCAAAGAGCAAAAGTGTTTGTTGAGCGCTGTTAAGTCAAGAAACTAACATTCTATTTGCTTTTACCAAAGCCCAGGCTGCGCAAAAACTTCCATAATTTCTGGGTTGTGCAATTCTCAATA